AATGGCGATCATTCAAAAGTCAGGAAACAACAGGTGCTGGAGAGGATGTGGAGAAATAGGAACACTTTTACACTGTTGGTGGGATTGTAAACTAGTTCAACCATTATGGAAAACAGTATGGCGATTCCTCAAGGATCTAGAACTAGATGTACCATATGACCCAGCCATCCCATTACTGGGTATATACCCAAAGGATTATAAATCATGCTGCTATAAAGACACATGCACACGTATGTTTATTGCAGCACTATTCACAATAGCAAAGACTTGGAATCAACCCAAATGTCCATCAGTGACAGACTGGATTAAGAAAATGTGGCACATATACACCATGGAATACTATGCAGCCATAAAAAAGGATGAGTTTGTGTCCTTTGTAGGGACATGGATGCAGCTGGAAACCATCATTCTTAGCAAACTATCACAAGAACAGAAAACCAAACACCGCATATTCTCACTCATAGGTGGGAACTGAACAATGAGATCACTTGGACTCGGGAAGAGGAACATCACACACCGGGACCTATCATGGGGAGGGAGGAGGAGGGAGGGATTGCATTGGGAGTTATACCTGATGTAAATGACGAGTTGATGGGTGCTGACGAGTTGATGGGTGCAGCACAGCAACATGGCACAAGTATACATATGTAACAAACCTGCACGTAAGGCACATGTACCCTAGAACTTAAAGTATAATAATAATAAATAAAATAAAATAAGAAAAATAAAAATATACAGAGTCCCCCCCGCCTTTTTTTTTATTAGTGAAAAAGTCAGAGCCTTGTCGAATTTGGATGAAAGAGAAATGCAAAGCCAGCAATTGTTTGTTAAAGAAGGATTAGAAACGGCTAGGAGAGAGTGAGATTGATAGTGTGGTGGAGATAGCTGGGGAGAGGTTAGAGGGTGGCATGAGAATAAGAGCGAGTATAAAAGTAAAGAATAGGACTTCATTAGGGTCAAAGTACTGGAGTGTACTTTGTCACTGAAGATCTTCCATACACTTAAACAGAGACTTAAGGGTGGCAGTTTGAGGTAAAACCAGGAGCCACTAAATACCAAGAGCCTGAGAAACTGCTTGGATGTTTTGACTAATAAAGGTCGGTCCATTATTGGACCGTATAGAGGTGGGAAGGCCAAACTGAGGAATTACGTCTGACAGAAGGGTGGCTTTCTCAGACCCTGTGGGAAAGGCCTCTACCCATCCAGTGAAAGTGTCTACCCAGACCAAGAGGTATTTTAGTTTCCTGACTCGAGGCATTGTGAGTAAAGTAAATTTGCCAGTCCTGGGCAGGGGCAAATACCTGAGCCTGATGTATGTGGAAGGGAGGGGTCCTGAACAATCCCTGAGGAGTGGTAGAATAGCAGATGGAACACCGAGAAGTGATTTCCTTAAGGATAGATTTCCACAATGGAAAGGAAATGAGAGGTTCTAAGAGGTGGGCTAGCAGCTTGTAACCTACATGCAAGAGGTTATGAAATGACGATAGAATAGAATGGGCCTGTGAGGCTGGAAGGAGATATTTTCCTTGGTCCAAGAACAATTTGCCTTGTGTGGGAAGAGATTGAAAGGTGGAAGTTTCAGTGGAAGAGTAAGCGGGAGTGACCGATGAAAAGAAGAAAAACTGACCATGAGGGACTGAAGTTGGAATGCTAGCTGCTTCTCTAGCTACCTTATCAGCATAAGCGTTGCCCTGAGCGATGGGATCTGATGCCTTTTGATGGCCCTTGTAGTGAATGACTCCAGCTTCCTTTGGAAGTAAAGCAGCCTTGAGAACAGTTTTTATTAAAGAGGCATTAATGATGGAGGACCCTTGTGTGGTGAGGAAACCTTTCAGCTCATAAAACAGCATGGTGGTGCAGGATATGGGGTCAGTATAAATATTGACACATAGTCCCTTTACAAGAGTGAGGGCCCGAATTAAGGCAATGAGTTCGGCTTGCTGAGAGGTAGCAGAGGGGGGCAGAGCAGTAGCCTCAATGATAGATGTGGAAGATACTATAGCATAGCCTGCCTTTGCTGGTGTGTGGCGATTAGGCCTGGTGGAACTGTCATCAATAAACCAAGTGTGAAAAGGGTGAGGAACAGGAAAGAAGAAAATATGGGGAAATGGGGTGAATGTCAGGTGTATCAGGGAGACACAGTCATGGGGGTCAGGTGTGGTATCAGGAATAATCGGGGAGGCTGGATTGAAGTCTGGGCCAGGAACAATGGTAGTTGTGGGAGACTCAACAAAGAGTGAGTATAGCTGAAGGTGCTGGCGGGGCAGAAAGTATATGTGTCAAGCATGAGGAGGAAAATAGATTTTGGAAGTTATGAGAACTGTAGGGAGTGAGTTGAGCATAATCTGTGATTTCTGAGGGCCTCTAAAAGTATTAGGGCTGCGGCAGCCGCTGCACGGAGACATGATGGCCAGCCTAAAACAGTAAGGTCAAGTTGTTTGGACAGAAAGGCTACAGGACGCGATCCTGGTCCTTGTGTAAGAATTCCAACTGCACAGCCCTGCACTTCGGCTCTGTGTAATGAAAAGGGCTGGGATGAGTCAGGGAGAGCTAGGGTGGGTGCAGTCTCTAAAGCTGTCTTCAAGGAATGGAAAGAGGAGTGGGGAATGGATTTAGAATCTATGGTGTCAGCTACGTTTCCTTTTGTGAGTTTATATAATGGTTTTGTTAGGATGGCAAAACTAGGTATCCAAAGTCGAAAGTATCCAACCATGCCTAGGAAGGAAAGGAATTGTTGTTTTGTAGAAGGTGTTGGGGTTTGAGAGATCAGTCGGACACAATTGGCAGGGAGAGCATGTGTGTTTTTATGAAGAATTATGCCAAGGTAGGTAACGGATGGAAAAGAAATTTGAGCTTTGGAGGGGGATACCCGATATCCTTTGGAGAATAAATGCTGAAGGAAGAGAAGGGTGTCTTGTTGAGAAGATTCAAAGGAGGGGCTACAAAGAAGAAGGTCATCAATATATTGAATAAGGTGAGAAGCAGAGAGGTGGAAAGAAAGTAAACCATGAGAAAGAGCTTGGCTTAAGTAACGAGGGCTGTCCCTGAAACCTTGCGGCAGCACAGCCCAGGTAAGCTGCTGGGACTGATGGGTGTCAGGGTCAGTCCAGGTGAAAGCAGAGAGAGTCTGGGTTGGGTGCAAGGAATAGTAAAGAAGAAATTGATAGGTGGAAGTTTTAGGCCTGACAATTTCCAATAAAAAGTCTCCCTGCAAGGAATAACAAAGGTCCTATTCCTCCACCTCCCATCCACCTGATGTGGGAAAATACATAACGGTTCTTAAGGGAGTGGAAACGGATTAGTCATAAGGCAAATTTTGCCTAATTAAAATTTTACCTAGTGTCATTCCAGCTTCCAATTACCTCTCCTCCTCAACCTTTAGCATCTCAGGAGTGGGTGGGACACTGCCCATCATACTATGCCCCGCCCAAGGATTGTCACATTTATAGGTTAACCTAGAGCAGCAGTCCCCGACCTTTTTGGTACTAGGGACTGATTTCATGGAAGTCAATTTTTCCACGAACCAGGGTTGCGGGAGAGGGCATGGTTTCAGAGTGAAACTGTTCTACCTCTGATCACCAGGCATTAGTTGGATTCTCATAAGGAGCATACAACATAGATCCCTCACATATAGAGTTCACAGTAGAGTTTGTGCTCCTATGAGAATCTAATGCCACCACTGATATGACAGGAGGCAGAGCTCAGGTGGTGATGCTCACTCGCCTGCTGCTCACCTCTTGGTGTGGAGCCTGGTTCCTAACAGGCCATGAACAGGTACCAGTCCAAGACCTGGGGGCTGGGGACCCTCGACCTAAAGGATCAAGAGAAATAGTGACTGTGAGGAGTGAAATTTTTGTCTAGACTAGATATGGAAAGTTACCCCAATTTCTCCTAATATCCATCTCGATTCTGTTTCTCTCCCCTTCCCAAATGGCTTGACCTGAATATAACACAATATTACACTATTCACCTCATATACTGACTATATAGTTTTATCTTACTATCTTATGGTCTCACAAACTCTCAACATAAATACGAATATGAAAGATTATTAATTCCTAAAGTTGCAAGTAGGCATGATAGTTACATAACCCAAAAACTGAACCCCTAACCCTACCTAACACCAAAGCAGCAAAGGAAATAATATCTCAGGTAGCACTTAGGATGCTACCTATGGTTCTAAAGAATTCTAATATTTTCTAGAAAGGCTCTTAATCCCTTTATTAAGATTGATATGTTACCTTACTAAACATTAGGGAGAAATGGTACGTAATTTGCTACAGTTTGTTTTAAATAATACATAAAACCTACCATTTTGTTTTTTAAATGTGATATTTATCATCACAAATCCTAGGGGACAACACCATAATGTTGTTTGGTTTTTCCCAGGCACAGAAATGCAAAAGGTTGATGAAATCATCAGGTGTCAAGTCTGAGGTCTCAGACTTTATCATCAAGAGAAGCCCAGTCGTTTCCCAGTTCGAGAGGAAATCTAGTGAGGAGTGCAGCAGATAAAAGAGCATAACGTAGATAGTTGAAGCAAAAAGTGATTCAACGTGAAAGAGCAGGCAGGATGAACAAACAGAATTAGCTAACAGTGAGGGAATGAAAGCAGAGGATAGGAGAAAAGTATATCAAAACAACATCAGGACAGAGTATCAGCACTTCTAGCTAAGATATCTCTAGCCCACAGCCCTGTGCCTACAGATACTGAGAACCAGCCCTTATCTTCAGCATACTCTGGTAAAATTTACCTATTTTTTGTTATATTGGTTATATTATTCCTTCCATTTGTTTTTTCCAGGCAGCACTTGCCTGCTCGAGTTCAGAAACTAGTCCCTTTCCAGGAGGCTAGAGAAATGCCATGCTTCTCCAGGGGATCAGCCCAGGCTGGGACCTCGGGGTGAGAGGCAGCTTGTGTTAGTGTGAAAAGCTGTACTGCCCACACCCACCCTGCACTAACACTGTGCCCTCAGTAGGATGCTGCTAATGAGCCTTACCTTTTCTTTGTTCACTTTTTTAATTGCCCACTTCGTTTCTGTTTCCTTGTCTGTTGCTTCAATGACCATTCCAAAGCTCCCTTTTCCCAATATTCTTCCAAAGGTATAGATTTCCTGGAGGAAAAAAAAAAAGAGTTCTTTGTCTCTCTATGCCATTCAACAGTTATTAAAAATGAATGGCCGGGCGCGGTGGCTCATGCCTGTAATCCCAGCACTTTGGGAGGCCAAGGCGGACAGATCACGAGGTCAGGAGATCTAGACCATCCTGGCTAAAGCGGTGAAACCCCATCTCTACTAAAAATACAAATAATTAGCCGGGCGTGGTTGCGGGCGCCTGTAATCCCAGCTACTCAGGAGGCTGAGGCAGGAGAATGGCAAGAACCTGGGAGGCGGAGCTTGCAGTGAGCCGAGATGGCGCCACTGCACTCCAGCCTGGGTGACAGAGCGAGACTCTGCCTCAAAAAAAAAAAAGAAAAAAGAACATATAATACTGACAGATACTCACCCAAGGGAAAAGAGATTCTGCTCCAAGTTAGAATCAAATAGAAGACACTACATATTTTCTCCAATATTAATAAACACATCTTAACCAAAAATAAGTGTTGATGAATTTTATTAAGTGTCCTTTGGAAGAAAACCATAAAAATCCTAATGGTGAAATGTGGAAAAACTCAAAAGTATAAAAATGAATCTCTTTCAAACTATAATATATTAATGAAGTATCTTCATAGGAAAAAGGAGAAATGGAGTACTAATATATATACATAAGTGTGTGCAGACATAAAATACACTCACGCCAAAAAATCCCAAATCTCTGAGAGCTGTACTACAAAATCAACACATAGTAACTACTGAACAAATGTTTCCTTATTTAACAACTAATGCTTTTCCTTTATCTTATTAAAAATCACTTTTGTTTTATTCCTTTTGCTTTAGAAAAAGCAGTATGTGACAAAAATTTCAACACAGATCAGCACTGAGAAAAAAAATAACCACTACTCATGAAACCATCATCCAAACCAAGAATCCATCCTCTTATCATTTAACTTCTACCTACAAAGAAATACATTGGTTTTGCCAACACCACCATTTTGGTTTGCATTGTAAATAATAAACAGCTAACTCATTTACTCTTTCATTTCTTGTAAATTTGGTTTTGGGGGAGTCAGTCTCCCCGATTCAAATCAACTCCAGGGAATTAACAAGAGTTTCTGGACCCATCATGCATAGGAACCAGAACATGGGAGAGCAGCTGAACTAATGCCACTAGGTAATGCCCTGGTTGGATCAGCTAGTCAAAGCCTTCCATAGAAATGCCACTCTCAAAATGCCACTCTCTCTCTCTCTGTGTGATCACTTTCACGTTCACCATGTGTATCAGTCCGTTTTCATAATGCTGATAAAGACATACCCGACACCGGGCAATTTACAAAAGAAAGATAACTTGCAGTTCCACATGACTGGGGAGGCTTCACAATCATGGCAGAAGGCAAGGAGGAGCAAGTCACATCTTACATGGATGGAAGCAGGCAAAGAGAGGGCTTGTACACAGAAACTCCCATTTTTAAAACCATCAGATCTCATGAGACCCATTCACTATCATGAGAACAACATGGAAAAGACCCACCCCTGTGATTCAATCATCTCCCACTGGTTCCCTCCCATGACACATGGGAATTATGGGAGCTACAAGATGAAATTTGGGTGGGGACACAGAGCCAAACCATATCATTCCAATTCTGGCCCTTCCCAAATCTCATAACTTCACATTTCAAAACCAATCATGCCTTCCCAACAGTCCCCCAAAGTCTCAACTCATTTCAGCATTAACTCAAAAGTCCACATCTAAGACAAGGTAAGTCCCTTCTGCCTATGAGCCTGTAAAATCAAAAGCAAGTTAGTTACTTCCTAGATACAATGGGGGTATAGGCACTGGGTAAATAATGGTCATTACAAATGGGAGAAATTGGCCAAAACAAAAAGGCTACAGGCCCCATGCAAGTCCGAAATCCAGTGGGGCAGTCAAATCTTAAAGCTCCAAAATGATCTCCTTTGACTCCATGTCTCATATCCAGGTCACGCTGAAGCAAGAGGTAGGTTCCCATAGTCTTGGGCAGCTCTGTCTGTGTAGCTTTGCAGGGTACAGCCTCCCTCCTGGCTGCTTTCACAGGCTGACATTGAGTGTCTGTGGCCTTTCCAGGTGCATGGTGCAAGCTGTCGGTGGATCTACTATTCTGGGGTCTGGAGAATGGTGGCCCTCTTCTCACAGCTCCACTAGGCAGTGCCCCAGTAGGGAATCTGTGTGGGGGTTCCCACCCCATATTTCCCTTCTGCACTTCCCTAGAAGAGGTTCTCCCTGAGGATCCTGCTCTTGTGGCAAACTTCTGCCTCGGCATTTCCATATATCTTCTGAAATCTAGATGGAGGTTCCCAAACCCTAATTCTTGACTTCTGTGCACTTGCAGACTCAACACCACATGAAAGTAGCCAAGGCTTGAGGCTTGCAGCCTCTGAGGCCACAGCCCAAGTTCTATGTTGGGCCCTTTCAGCCATGGCTGGAGTGGCTAGAATGCAGGGCACCAAGTCCCTAGGCTGCACACAGCATGGGAATCCTTGGCCCAGCCCATGAAACCACTTTTTCCTCCTAGTACTCTGGGTAATGGGAGGGGCTGCTGTGAAGACCTCTGACATGCCCTGGAGACATTTTTCTCATTGTCTTGGGGATTAACATTTGGCTCTGGTTACTTATGCAAATTTCTGCAGCCAGCTTGAATTTCTCCTCAGAAAATGGGATTTTCTTTTCTATTGCATTTTCTATCGCAGGCTGCAAGTTTTCTAAATTTTTATGCTCTGCTTCTCTTATAAAACTGAATGCCTTTAACAGCACCCAGCTTACCTCTACAATGCTCTGCTGCTTAGAAAGTTCTTCCACCTGATACCCTAAATCATCTCTCTCAAGTTTAAAGTTCCACAAATCTCTAAGGCAGGTGCAAAATGCTGCCAGTCACTTTAATAAAACATAACAAGAGTCACCTTTACTCCAGTTCCCAACAAGTTCCTCATCTCCATCTGAAACCACCTGAGCCTGAATTTCATCGTCCATATCATTATCAGCATTTTGGTCAAAGACATTCAACAAGTCTCCAGGGAGCTCCAAACTGTCCCACATTTTCCTGTCTTGTTCTGAGCCCTCCAAATTGTTCCAACCTCTGCCTGTTACCCAGTTCCAAAGTCACTTCCGGCCGGGTGCGGTGGCTCATGCCTGTAATCCCAGTATTTGGGAGGCCGAGGCAGGCAGATTATGAGGTCAGGAGATCTAGACCATCCTGGCCAACATGGTGAAACCCCGTCTCTAACAAAAATACAAAAATTAGCTGGGTGTGGTGGCCTGTGCCTGTAATCCCAGCTACTCAGGAGGCTGAAGCATGAGAATAGCTTGAACCCAAGAGGGGAAGGTTGCAGTGAGCTGAGACTGCACCACTGCACTTCAGTCTGGCGACAGAGCAAGATTCCATCTCAAAAAAAAAAAAAAAAAGTCACTTCTACATTTGTGGGTATATTTTAGGCAGCACCCCACTCCTGGTACCAATTTACTGTATTTGTCCATTTTCACACTGCTGATAAAGACATACCCGAGACTGGGCAATTTACAAAATAAAAAGGTTCATTGGACTTAAGAGTTCCACATGGCTGGGGAGGCCTCACAATCATGGCAGAAGGCAAGGAGGAGCAAGTCACGTCTTACATGGATGGAAGCAGGCAAAGAGAGGGTCTGTGCAGAGAAACTCCCATTTTTAAAACCATCAGATTTTATGAGATCCAGTCACTATCATAAGAACAACACGAGAAAAACCTGCCCCCATGATTCAATCATCTCCCACAGGGTCCCTCCCATTACAAGTGGGAATTATGGGAGCTACAAGATGAGATTTGGGTGGGGACACAAAACCAAACCATATCACCATGCAACAGGTAAATGAGAGGCTTGTCTTTGCATTTTCTAATGCGTACATTCCTTTCTTTTGTAACAGAAAATTCAATGCCCAACTAATTACCTCCTTCATGAAGGGTTTCTTTGTTTCACACAATTGTGTCTGTTCTGTTATTTTTATTCCTATCACCATTTATACATTGGTCCTCAAACAATATTATTGCTTTTTTGTTTACAAACCTTTTGGCTCATTTCTTTTCTTCCAAGACAGTCTAAAAGCTCCTAAAGGAGCTGTTTCTTTTGTATCTCTTAAAAAAACCTAACTCCTCTCTCTTCCTTGATACCACTTAATAGCACATGATAGAATTAAAGTCAGAAAACTTAGATAATTATAAAATAGTACAAAACATAATTTTATTTTTATATTTATATGCAACTCTCAATTATATACAGAGATACTTCAGAGATATTGTGTATTCAGTTCCAGACCACCACCATAAAGCAAAAATTTCAATAAAGCATATAAAAGTTATGTTTACACTATATTATAATCTATTAACTGCAATAGCATTATGTCTAAAAATGTACACAAAATTTTAAAATGCTGTATTGCAAAAAAAATGCTAACAAACATAACAATGCAGTTGTAATCTTTTTGCTGGTGGAGGGTCCTGCCTCCATGTAGATGACCAATGACTGATTAGGGTAGTGATGGCTGAAGACTGGAATGGCTGTGGCAATTTCTAAAAATAAGACAACCATGAAGTTTGGTGCATCAACTGACTCTTCCTTTCATAAAATATTTCTCTGTAGCATGTGATGCTGCTTGAGAGCATTTTATTCACAGCAGAACTTCTTTCAAAACTGAAACCAGTGCTCTCAAACCCCGTCACTGCTTTATCAACTATGTTTATGTAATATTTTAAATTTTGTTGTCATTTCAAAAATGTTCACAGCATCTTCACCCGGAGTATATTCCATCTCAAGAAATCACTTTCTTTGCTCATCCGTAAGAAGCAATTTTTCACTCATTCATGTTTTATCATAAGACTGCAAAAAGTCAGTCCCATCTTCAGGCTCCACTTCTAGTTCTCTTATTGTTTCCATTATATCTATAGTTACTTTATCCACTTAAGACTTGAACCCTTCAGTCATCCATGAGGGTGGGAATCAATGTTTACCAGACTCCATTAATGTTGATATTTTGACCTTCTCTCATGAATCACAAACGTTCTTAATGGCTTCTAGCATGATGAATCCTTTCCAAAAGATTTTCAACTTAATCTGCCCAGATCCATCACTATCTGTAGCAGATATAACCTTATGAAATTTATCTCTTAAATAATAAGGCTACGAAATGGAAATCACTTTGATCCATGGGCTACAGAATGAACATTGTGTTAGCAGGCATGAAAACAACATCCATTTTGTACATCTCCATTAGAGCTTTTAGGTGACCAGGTGCATTGTCAATGAGCAGTAATATTTGGAAAGGAGACTTTTTTTCTGAGCAGTAGGTCTCAAATGTGGGCTTAAAATTTCAGTAAATCATGCTATAAGCAACATTCAGGCTTTGTTGTTCTATTTAAAGAGCACAGGCAGAGTAAATTTAGCATAAATTCTTAAGGCCCTAGGAATTTCAAAATGGTAAATGAGCACTGGCTTCAACTTAAAGTCACCAGCTTCATTAGCCACTAACAGGAGAGTTAGCCTATCCTTTGGGGCTGTGAAGCCAAACATTGATTTCTCCTCTCTAGCTATGAAAGGATTAGTTAGCATCTTCTTCCCATATAAGGCTTAAATCAGTTGTTTAGTGTAGCCACCTTCTATCAATGGTCTTAGCTAGATCTTCTGGATAACTTGCTGCAGCGTCTACATCAGCACTGGCTGCTTCCACCTTGCACTTGTATGTTATAGAGACAGTGACTTTCCTTAAACCTCCTGAACCAATATGTGCTAGCTTCAAGTTTTTCTCCTACAACATCCTCACTTCTCTCCCCTTCACAAAACTGAAAAGAGTTAGGGCCTTGCTCTGGATTAGGCTTTGGCTTAAGCGAATGTTGTGCTTGGTTTGGTCTTCTTCCAAATCACTCAAACTTTCTCCATATCAGCAACAAAGCTGTTTTGCTTATCAGTCATGTGTTCACTGGAATAGCACTTTTAATTTTATTCAATGACTTTTCTTTTGCATTAAAAACTTGGTTAACTGGTGCAAGAGGCCTAGCTTTTAGCCTATCTTGGCCTTCAACATGCCCTCCTCATTAGGCTTAATCATTTCTGGATTTTGATTTAAAGCAAAAGACATGTAACTCTTCCTTTTGCTTGAAACACTATTGGGTTATTAATTGTCCTGACTTTAATATTGTCTCTCAGGGACTAGGAAGGGCCAAGGAGAGGGAGAGAGATGGAAGAATGGTCAGTCACTGGAGCAATCAGAATGCACACAACATTTATTAAGTGTGCCATCTTATATGGGTGCAATTTGTGACACCCCCAAACAAGTACAATAGTAACATCAAAAATCACAGATCATAGATCACAATAGATACAATAATGAAGAAAAAGTTTGAAATACTGTGAGAATTACCAAAATGTGACACAAAGGCACAAAATGAGCATAAGCTGTTGGAAAAATGGCACCAACAGACTTGCTTGACACAGTTGCCAAACCTTCAAATTTGTAAAAGATGCAAGATTTGCAGAGTGCAATAAATCAAAGCACAATATGATGAAGTATGCTTATATCTTATAAAGTGAGTTAAATCTCAACTAAAATGGTCATTTACCCTTTTCGCATTTACAAAATAATCTCTTCATAACCATTTCCCCAATTTTTCTTGTCCTTTAAAAGTTAAACTTTCATTTTCTCTCTAAATGGAACCACAATTTGAAGACAGTACTTCAATACTGTTTAAATACGAATTCTAAAATGAGAAATGGCCAACTAGTTTTTTATAAACTAATCACTTTGTTCAACTAACTGCTTTGATATTAACACATGGTGATGAAGGAGAAAATAGTTTATTATTTCTAATAATTGTGTAAGGATGTTATTAAAATGATAATGTAGATCTATTTTTATTGACACAGAAGTCCATGACATAGTGTACAGTGTGAAAAGCATATAAGATATGATTTCATGATGAAAATGTATGTATGCGGAGGTGCTTACATGGATATCTGGGAAAATGTTCATCTAAATATTAAAAGTAGTTATGTAAGGGTAATAGAATCGTGGATGCTTGTAATTTCCTTCTTTATACTCTTCTGAAATGTTTAAAATATTTAAAATGAGCCTATTTTATGGGGGAATAGAAGCTTTAACTTCAGCTACACCAGGTTAAGGTTACTTCTTTAAAATACGTATATATATTTGAAATATCCCCTAATTTAAAACAGGAAAAATGTTAAAGAAAAATAAAACAAAACTAGTACATGCATACAAAAAGTGAAGGTAATAATTTTTAAATTGGTTATATCTGGTTGATGATTTTTATTTTCTCCACACTTCTATTTGCCTAATTTTTCACAATGAACACATTTTGCTTTTATAAAAGCTCTTAAGACTAAATTTGTTATTTCTTTATTTTATTGTTTTTGGAGACAAGGTCTCACTCTGTCACCCAGGCTAGAATGCAGCAGTATGATCATAGCTCACTGCAGCTTCAAACTTCTGGGCTCAAGTGATACTCACATCTCACCATCCCCGCAGCAGCCAGGACTACAGTTGCATGCCACTATACCTTGCTAATTTTTAAAAAAAAATTTTGTAGAGAGGGAGTTTTGCTGTGTTGCCCAGTCTGGTCTCAAACTCTTGGCATCAAGTGTTCCTCCTTCCTCAGCCTTTCAAAATGCTGGGATAACAGGCATGAATCATCATGCCTGGCCCAAGACTAAATTTAAAACTTGGTAAATTTGTCTGTGTGTGTTGTAAGTACAGGCCTTTAATTAAAGGGGAGAAATTTAAACTTTTCAAGTCAGAGTTTCTCAGGCCAGGCAGCTTTTCTAAGCACTTCATGTAAGTTGCCAAATATCTTTTAAAATAAGTTTTGACGTCAGGCTTGATCATTTCTAGCTTTTGATTTAAAGAGAAAGACATGCAACTCTCCCTTTCATGTGACCACTATAGGATTAATAATTGGCCTAATTTCAATATTTTTGTGTATCAGGCACTAGGGAGGCCAAAGGAGAGGGAGAGAGATGAAGAGTGGTCAGTCAGCTGAGCAATCAGAACATAAACATTTATTAAGTATACCATCTTAAATGGGTGCAATTTGTGGTGCCCCAAAGCAATTTAAATGGTAACATTAATGCAATTTTCTTCTTTTTGTGGTTGTTCTTACTGCAGTTTCTTTAATGTAAAAACACACATTTTAATTTTTTATTGTTCTAATATTTAATTCATATTTTATATAATAATTTGGATCCTGGAAAAATAATATTGGTATTTATCCAATCACAGGATGGAAAAGATGGAGGAGCTCACGAGGGAGATTCTGGCCTCACTATCAAGGAAGTGAACAGCCAAACTAACTAAAATCATCTAGTCCTTTTCTGCATCATGAAAAGGTCTAAACAAAGACTCCATTATTGTTTTCAGCAATGGCCAAGACCTGAAGATGAAACTATCCTCATTTTATCTAATGAAAATGTTCTCTGCTTTAATTAAAATCCACTTGGTCCTCCATAAACAGAAAATAATTAATCTGTATTTTCTTTAGTAAAAATGTTACCATACTTGAAAATGGTATGTTTCCTCTTTTCTTTACTTCCTTTCTTTAGAGATTTATTTTTAAATCATTTTTTTCCATTAACCATTGACTTAGAAGAAACTTGAAAGTTCACAGTAGCTTCATTTGCTTTCTATATACCTCAATAGCAGCTCCATTCTCAATCCTTATGTGAGGAACTTTCCCTTCTATAAAGTTGCCCCGACCCCACTGTTGTTGAGATGCTTTTCTCTCTACATTTGAGGTTCTTGAGGGCTGGAATCAAAAAAAAATTAATAAAAAAACAACAACTTTAAGATGTAATATTCTTGGTTGACAAAGAATCCTAATTTAGATAATCTGGTAACTCCTTAACGTGTGCCATGTTTACTACGCACAAGATTGTTTACTATCTTTTTCAAATTCTAAGCCCTACGCAATTCATTGGCTCATTAGGTTAAAGGAGACCTTAAGAAGTTATTCAATCCAATCCCCTGAATCCAGGAAAGTCTACATGATAACCAGCACAGCAGATTCATCAAAGTTTACCTAGTCATTCTCTGAAATCAAAGAAAGCAACTTTATAGCTTTCTCAATCACTCTCCTTTCACAATTTAACAACCATCTCAAATAGCTTATACATAAATTATTGGCCACTCAAAAATATGCTTTGAGTGAAAATAACATAGTAACAACTCACTCTGAGACATCCATATAGCAGTAACTATATGGTAACACAAATCAGAAATAACAGTCAAGGGAGAACATATGAAGAAGGTACAATTTTGAGGAATGGGAACCTGACTTTTCTTAGGCTTATTGCTCTCTGTCTCCAAAGTTGTGCTGTATCAACCACAATCTTACATACTGCCTATTCTATATAAAGATGAGTATGGCCAGGCACAGTGGCTCATGCCTGTAATCTCAGCACTTTGGGAGGCCGAGGTGGGTGGATCACATGAGGTCGGGAGTTCGAGACCAGCCTGACCAACATGGAGAAACCCCCCCTCTCTACTAAAAATACAAAAAATTAGCTGGGCATGGTGGCACATGCCTGTAATCCCAGCTACTCAGGAGGCTGAGGTAGGAGAATCACTTGAACTCAGGAGGCAGAAGTTGCGGTGAGCTGAGATCATGCCATTGCATTCCAGCCTGGGCAACAAGAGCAAAAGTCTATCCCAAAAAAATTTTTTTAAAAGATGAATACATCGAAATCAGTACAACTGGGTAGCCACAGATTATTTGTAACTAATGCAAACTGATTTTGTTAAGTATAGTTCATATTCCACCGAGACAACCACGACTTAAATAACAAAGCCATAACTACCCTTTACTTAACCACAACCATAAATCTCATTCTTCATCAGCTGAAGAAAATACTCAAAAATTCAGATTTAATTCAACTTGAAAACCAATTCATTTCTGCATAAACCATTAAAAAAAAGAAGTGGGGATAACATGTTTAATTACCTTGTGTCCTGAGAAATAATTAATTTGGGCAGTGGTTGGAAACATAATATAACAAGTTACTAACCAAATTTACTCACCTCTTCTGTGAGAAAGAAATGTTTAATAGTAATGAAGGCAATGAATTAACTAACAAGAACTCATGGGATATGGATGAAGCTAGGAGTGCCATCAGGGAACAGGATGTCAACTTGTGCTTAGATGTGGAATCTTTGATATTTACCAAATCTTTTCCAGAGGTTATGTCTCTGTTGATACTTTTTTCTTTTTTTCTCTCCAGTGAAATTAAAGACTCTGCACTACCAATGCTTGACGTCTGTGACATTTCCACCACTAAAACTGGAGGAACCCTTGTTTTGCTGGAACACACACAAAGTACATCTTTCTGAGAAGCAGATGAACAGTAAGGGCATTCTATGGATTTTTTATATAAGTCACTATCAGCCATTTGTTTAAGTCTGCAACAAAAGCAGCTTTAAAAATCCTTCCACTGTTTGAGGAAGAAAACCAGAACAGAAAGGATAAGGTAGTTGATGGTGAAAACTGTAACTTCGAACTGGTGAAGTCCTTAAGTTAAGGATGCACTAGACACATATTCACACGTGAGAGCTGCAGAAAGAAAAGAAATCACCATTTAGATAAATTCTTATCCTATCACCATCCTGGAAATCAGAGAAAAGCTAGCAACTAGCACTAGAAGCATCCTGTATAGACATGAAAAGGACAAAATAGGACCACAAAACTGCTGAAAAGCATGGTCTAAAACAGCATCTTATCAAACTGCAGTAGTGGGTTATGAAATCCATTTTGTGGGTTGATATCACTTTTTAAAAATAAAGTAGAATCAAATAGATAATAGAATATTTAGCATACCTCCTTGGAAATTTCTGTGAAACTTTTAATTAGACAGATATGTATGTATAGAGTGCGTGTGTCCGTGTGTACTTGATCACAGTATGAAATATATTTCTTAATGTCGGTTTTGGTTTTTTAAAAGGTTTAATATATTGGTGTTAAACACACATTACTATGGTTTCAAATTTTAAACCTTAATCTATTTATTATTAGAGCAAGTTCCTACTACATACTTTACAAAGGAGTGAATAATTCACTTTTTATAAAATTAGCTAATTCTAAAAGTTTAAGTATCCTCATAAGTATCCTCATTTTTATATTGAGCAAAAATAAAAATGAGTGGGTGCTACTTTTCCCTGAGCCTAAAATAAGTATGGCAGCATTTTACTTAACTAGGACCACTGGCAGCTGCATAGTGGCAAGTTGGAAAGATCTCATTTGAGGAGGAAGAAAAATACACTCTGCGGTACATATAAAGGAGTACCTTGAGAAACTTCCAGAAGTAATTGGGAGCACATTATTATAGTTTTATGCTATACCATTTCAAATAGTCTTTAAAAGTAGATTTTGTAGTCATAGATTGATAAAGCTGGGGATATATGCAATATACCGTTATCCTTTGAACTGGAATAAACTTGACTAGAATAGGAAATTAAATATATTTATTTCATTAAAGAAATAGTTGGTTTTCTAATCAGAAAGCTGTGCTGACTTTTATCCAATCCTTATCTATTGTGATTGGCAGGAAAATCTGCCAGGCCCATAGGATTTTATAAAAGATACTGCTAGTAGTTTACCTAAAAGTTGTCCTCCCATTCTTTCTTATGAACAAAATTCTGATTTTCTTTGGGGCAGCAATATGCTCATTAACATCCTACATTTCCGGGCTTCTCTTTCAGATTGGGGTAGCCATGTGACTTATGGCCATTAAGCTTAATAGAATGCAGGCAAAGCTGCACTTACAAGAAAATTTATACTCTTAAACCTTTATTAAAATCAGAGGAGAAAGGATAAAAATATACTAAGTGTGCAGTCAAATCTAAAAGATAGAAAAACATAATTAAAGAGCAAGATTAAGAAACAGAAATGACAAAGAAATTTTCTTGAATTTTGTCTATAAGGTCCCAAATAAATGGACTCTTCACTACCTCTCAGTTTTCATATCTCCTCTCTCTCAGATACAGTAGCCTCTTGCTGCTCCCCTAATATGCCAAGTATACTCCCTTCTCAAGGCTTTGTCCTTCTGCTTCCTCTGCCTGGGATGCTTTTCCCTCAAACATTCACACAGTTTGCTCCCGTGCTTCACTGTGCCTTCTGCTCAGTTGAAAGGCTTTCCTAACCACATCATCTAAAACAACAAGCCCATGCTCTCCGCCCCTTACCTTGCTTTACTTTTCTTCATGCCACTTATCATTTCACTCAGGAAGTTTCATAGCAGAGTCCTCTCCTACTTTTACTGAACAGACGATTCTCATATAAATGGTTTCAGAGCATACAAAGCCACCCAGTTCATTTTATTCACTTAGAATAACCAAAATCTGACCATGGTAAGTGTTCCCCAAAAGGGGGATTTAGAGGTCAATCTCATTTGTGAATAGATTTTAAAACCCCAGGTAATGTGTACAGTGTATTATAAGATTATTAAATAGAATTTAATAATAGATAAGTCAGCCCAATAAATATGACCTTTCATCAAAGTGGTGGAAAAAAAATTTCTATTGTGATTAAAACTTATAATGGAGAGTATGGGGACAGGTACATTAAAAGTGCCCTCCAGACAGGCAGAGGAAGAAAAGAATGCAACTGATGCCACTCAAAACACACACACACACACACCCCTCTTATAAACACTTAACCTGGTTTTTCAAGAATATGTAGCAAGACAAAGAAAATTCAGAATGTACCCGTATCACTTTGCAAAATGATTTAACTTCAGACCTAGAAGAAAATGTTTTGCATTTCAGGTTAAGTATAAAACCTATAACCATCAATGACTCAGAGCAGTGGAGTAGATCTGCAAATAATAGGCTTTCTGTTTGGGAAAAATAGTGCTTTCTCTCTGCAGGTGTAGAGAAGTCCCATGTCAGATGTGTAAAATATCATTTTTTGCATACATTAAGAATACTGACTTTATGGTACTTTTTATAAGAAACTGTAAGAAGCATTTGTAACGTACAGTTTTATTTAACTGCAGTTGAGTTCCTTCATGATAAACTGTACTCCTAAAAGCATACTTACCATATCCTTCAAGGTTTACAAATATATATATATTCACAAATTTTCAACGGAATCTTTAAATATTAAAATTTTCATTTTAAGGTAGATTTTGGGAGATCTAAAAACAGCTATTCTTTTCTTAGCTTTGTTCAGAAAGCATTTCCTTTAATTTTCATCAATTTTTCAATAAGTCATTATTGCATCACTGACATTGTCATAGACTTCTGAGTACTTTCTCGCTCCAGCCTTCTGATTTATCAGTTGCCTTAGAAGTACTTGGTAGCTATAGTCATAAAGCACAGGAATTTTTTCTATTACTCACTGAGAAGTTTCATTTTTGCTCTCCAGTCTACCAAGCCCTACATTTGCCAAAGTAATGTTCTACTTTCTCACCACAGCAATTCTAAAACAATAGGTTGAATAGCTGCATGCAAAATTTCTTGACAAGAATTAGATTTCAAATTTAACTTCTTTTTGCCCGGCTGAATTCTAATTATTTTAGCTTAAACAAAAACCAAGATAGAACAAATGTTTACTCACATTTATTTCTTTCTCATTTACGAATTGATCTGAAAGATTTGTTACTAAAACAAATCTACTATCTCACAGGACAAATGATGTCACTCATATTTTAGAGGCTTAAAATTAGTCAAGTATTGCAAACTTATGTAAACACAAAGATTAATAGCTCTTTTTCTGTAGAACCATGTAATTATCTTTAAACAGGACTTTAGATATAAAAATATGTATTACAAAACCAAAGAATCTTCTAACACAATAATGGTTCTTTGTGTCTCCAAAGATTGGACATACATAGGAATCGGACATAATGTAAGTAAATAAAATAAGTTCAAATCATGTCAATTTTTAACTAACACATGAGCCTTCCTTTGGCTAAAGGTTTTCATTTTATTTTTAGAACTAAGGCAAGTCAATAAAACAACTCTGATACCAAAAATCTCTGAGCTTTTATTTAATCATAAAAAGGTCTCTTACATATTGGCCCTAGAAGATACACTTATAGCAATTTCCTCAAGAAAATGAACACAAGAATGGTTTTATAAGATATAACTAGCTACAATTTTCTTCTCCAAAAGCAATTTTTAAAGTTTTCTTTACTAAGACTGTGTCTACAAGAAACCTAAATAGTCAATTCAGTCAAAAATATGTTTTATTCAAGTAAAGGGGAAAAAAAAAACTTATGGATTGTCTGACATTCTGCAGACCAAGCCAAATGACTGACTGCTTTTGTAACATGTTTACAAAGCCTAAAGAAGGGCCCAATGAGTTTTCTAGTTCATATTGCCATATTTTAAGGAAGACTAGCACTTGCTTATTATTTTCATTAAGGGCATGATTAGGAAAATGAGTCTGTATTGTCTTATAAAAGGATTTACAGTATATTTAAAATTTACATTATTTCAGAATTTTAAAAAATGTTTGACTGGTGTTTGCTTTAATTTTTCCTTTCTATTTTGATTTGCATGATGTTCCTCACTGATTAAGCTATAATACGGAAGGACAGTCTTAAATGTGGCCCCTATACTGACAGTTAAAAGCGAGAACAGAGGTCAGGCGGTGGCTCACGCCTACAATCCCAGCACTTTGGACGGCTGATGCGGGTGGATCACGAGGTCAGGAGATCAAGACCATCCTGACCAACATGGTGAAAACCCATCTCTACTAAAAATACAAAAATTAGCCAGGTGTGGTGGCATGCACCTGTAATCCCAGCTACTAGGGAGGCTGAGGCAGGAGAATTGTTTGAACCCAGAAGGTAGAGATTGCAGTGAGCCAAGATTATGCCACTGCACTCCAGTCTGGCAACGGAGCTAGACTCTGTCTCAAAAAAAAAAAAAAGGGTGAAAACAGAAATTGCAGTTCAGAGACAGTGGATAAACCAGGAAACCCTCTCCCCGATTCTCGCCTGTTGATATCAGTCTTTTCTCCCTCTCCATTATAAGCAACCAGAAGCTGGCCGGGCACAGTGGTTCACACCTATAATCCCAACACTTTGGGAGGCAGAGGCAGGCCGATCACTTGCAGTCAGGAGTTCGAGACCAGCCTGGCCAACATGGTGAAACCCCGTCTCTACAAAAAATACAAAAATTAGCCAGTCGTGGTAGTGTGCTCCTGTAGTCCCAGCTACTCAGGAGGCTGAGGTGGGAAAATCGCTTGAACCCAGGAGGCAGAGGTTGCAGTGAACTGAGATCATACCACTGTATTCTAGCCTGGGTAACAGAGCGAGACTCTGTCTCAAAAAAAATAACAAACACAAAACTAAGCAACCGGAAGCCAAGGACCTTTCTCCAACACAGGCCCTTCCTTGTACATCATAGGCACTCAGTGAAAATTTTTGGGTGGTGATTTTGTGGAAAAGAGCCAGAATCATAAATTACTTAGTTAGAAAAACAGGCAGGAATATAGGAAAAGTTGTCAAAGAAATGAGGGGATCACATGGAGAAGAGATATCTCAAGGGGAATGTGAGAGCTCTCTTCACATTTCTGAAGAAGATAAGGCATACAGGATTAGACTT